GGCCTGTATGGGGACCCAAACCCTTGTCCTTGGTGTTACAACACTGCACTCTAACCTGTAGTTTTTGTTTTTTTTGTCCTTTTTTGTGAACGGCCACACCGAGCTCAGCCAGTGAGCGCACTGGAGCCATCCCTATATAGGATGCGAACCCGCGGCGGGAGTGCTCCTGCGCTCCCAGTGCCGCACTCTCCCGAGTGCGCCACGGGGTCGGCCCTGTAGTTTTGTTTTTTAAGTGACATTTTGTTTGCTTGTTTGTTTGTTTTGTTTTTGGTAGGCTGGCCAGTAAAGGGATCAAACCCTAGACCTTGGGACTTTTTTTTAATGATAGCAAAGTACAATAAAGGAAACAAAAATTGATCACAGTTCTTCCACCTGCACATAAAAAACAAAACAAAATAAAACCCTACATGTACATGTTTAGAAAATTTTGAAATGACAGAAAGGAAGAAAACAAAAGAGAAACTCATTACACCCAGTTCCTTTCCCCAGAAATATTCACTCTCAAGTTTTTCATGGATATGTTCAGGGAAAAAAACATATTTTACATCTGCCAACTTACCTATTGGATAAACATATAAGGCTGGCCGGTTATAATTAAAGATTTAAATAAAGAAATGTTATAAATCTTTTCTATTTACACAAAAAGAATCATACTGTGCAAACTGTTCTGTACCTTTCCTTTTTTCTTTTGATTATGTATATATAATCAAAATATACATTTTTTTNACCCGCGGCCTTGGTGTTATCAGCACCGCACTCTACCGAGTGAGCCACGGGCCGGCCCGCAACTGTTGACTATATGCATTTGCCAGATTTTCTTCCCTAAAATCTTAATCTTTTCGGTCTTCAGCTTCCTGGTAAATTAAAGGTTATGTTAACAGTCCCCACTTCACAGTGTTTGGGGATCATCAAACAAAATATTGGATTTGAATTGGATATAAACTAAGGGGCTGTACACATGGTAGTTCTGAGTTCATTGGATTGGCTAGGAAGTAGCTTTCTTCTTGGAGGGCCTTTATGGCCAAGGTTTCCTGGGGTCTTGCCTTTTTTATTTCCCTGTGGCTTCCTTGCTCAGTCTGATTTTGAAGATAAAAGATTTCCTCCCTTTGTTTACATGGTTGATTTTACAGGGCACAACAGCTTTTAGGATTGTTTTTCTGGAGTGAGGTGGGTGTGGGGATGTGGGTTTAGGGTATGGGTTCAGGGCCTCCCCTTGATGGTAGTGGATGTCTTCTTATTCTCTAATTAGTCATCTTCTGGCAGACTAAGAAGTGGAAAATTTTAAAGTGGTTGCCAAATTGTGACTCCAGGCTGTAGCCTGCAGGTTGCCAGATTGCTGGCAACACTTTGTTTTCAGGAATTGGAGCCCACAAGCAGAACAAAGCAGCCCCCACAGGGGAGTGTTCCTAGGAATGCTGAAGGGAAGTTTTGACAGCCCTCTGGAAGTGACCTGTGAGTTGTAGAGGCCAAACTTGGTGTACTGCATGAAAGCTGATTTCCTAGGACAGCACTGTCCAATAGAACTTTCCATGCAGATGAAAGTAGTCTATAATCTGCACTGTCCAGTACAGTGTTCCCTGGCTCTGTGTAGCTCTTGAGCACTTGAAACAGCTAGTGTGACCGAGAAATGGAATTTTAAATTTTATTTATTTTATTTTTTCCTTTTTTTTTTGTCTTTTTTCGTGACAGGCAATGGGATCGCAACCCTGTGTCGCGCCCGCACTGCGCTCAACCAGTGAGCGGACCGGTCTCTATATGGGATCCGAACC